AAAAATAACCATTGCAAATGGGATGTGAGTCACTAATTTTGGAGCCCCATGTGACTAATCCTGCTCATATTTTGCTGAAGGGATGATCATATAGAATCTTATCTCAGTTTATGAAGAGGGACGTGTTAGTGTCAGACTTTTCAGGTTTGGCTTTTCCAGCAAATGAACTCTGCATGTGCCTTGTGCACAGCCAATGTACAGGAGGGACGCTCCATGCAAGGGACACTGAGAGTCAATAATTGCCAAAAAGCTGCAAAATACCAAGTTGCTGACACTGGTCATAAGAAATGGTATCGAGAATGCAGATGTGGTACCAAAACATCTTGAATAGGGATAGTAATTATCCTTGAGCACAAGCATTAATTTTTGAACTTAAGTTAAGAAGAGGAGAAAACTCGTAACCAAATCAAAAATTTGTTCATTTGATCCAGAGTAACATTTTTAATGAATTCTTTGGATGCAAGAGCCAAGAACTCTTAAAAAAACCCTTGCCCTGCAGAAAATGCACCTTTAAAAACCTCTTTGCTTTGAATGAAACATTATTTTTAGTGAGTCCTCATTTTATGGCAGACACATGCTTGTAAAAGTTGCCATTGTTTGTGTGGAAGGTGTGAGGGAAAAAGTACAAGGGGGAAAACTGGCAGATGCTTTACCTCACAGCATCCTAGCTGGTTTAGAGATGGCTGCTCCAGCCCTGGCTCTGCTGAGGAGCCATTGGCACACGCAGCCTTGCTGACTGCAGCACTTGGGAAATTTGGGAGCCAGAGCAGTGCATCAACTTTTTCTCCAGCTCTAAGTTCCAGTTGTCAGAGATGAGCTCCTCGATCGCTCAGGGAGGTTCCTTTGGGGAGGGAATTTGGAATGTGGCAGCTGTGCTGGCGTCGCTCAGTGTGGAGTGGAGGGAGCTCTGATGAGTCTGCTCCTTCTTCTGAACCTCACAGAGTGGTCTACAAACTGTGGCCATGTCCATGCTCTGGCCATGTCCATGCTCTGGCCATGTCCATGCCTGCTTGGAAAGGACCCTTCCCTTTGGCACACACATAAGGAGCAGAATCCTCGTCTGCCAGGCTCCTCGCCTCATCCCCAGAGGATGGGAGCACTCATTACCTCTCTAAAGTTGGGAGAAGGTGTTTTTAATTCAAGTGGAGGAACTGGCTGCTTCAGTTTTATTGCAGAATCATGCTAGTAATACATCCAGATTACTGCAGCTCACAGTAAGGAAGTCAATTTATAATGACTTTGCCATTGTCCTGTTGCTAATGTGCCACATTTGATTCTCCTCAGCTGGCTTTGAAAGGTCTCTTTGAGGAAGGAGGAGATAGCACCCTTGCTTATGAAAAAGGCAAATTATACCCAGGGGCAACATCTCTGCACAACAGGAAAAGGGCAGCCTCCTCCCAGGAGACACGGCCCCAAATTAAATGCAAGTAATTTCCTGACTAACCTGTGATTTCTATCTGGTTGTGGCTTCTGGCATACAGCTAAGTCTCCAGCTCTTCTGTTCTGTTCAGCAGGTCTCACATGTGCTTTCACTTTCATTTCCAAACTTTAATGCAGAACAGCCCATCCCCACAACCTGCTGCTGGGGCAGCAGGGCCGAGGGTGCTGGCTCTGGGTTGTGCGGCCATGGGCAGGAGCAGGGACTGTCTGGGTGTCAACCCACAGGAGGGATCCCTCAGCCACAGCAACAACGTGCCAGCAGAGGAGGTGGGATGGGGGGAAGAGCAACACAGTCCTGGGAATGGTTCCTTCAGGTCCCATGTGCCATCCAAGAGGATTTATGGTCTGACAGGGGAGGAGACACCTTGGGAAGGGGATGAGCTCTGGCAGGTCCCATGGAGTGTGTGATGCAAGGAGAGAGCCTTCAAGAACAACAACAATTACATTCAGCCTTTCTGTGGTTACTCCTAGGAGCAAGCACAGCCTGGAAGGAAGGAACAGCAGACACAACAGCCTGAAAGCTCCACTGGGCAAGCAATGACCGATTTATTCTACTAGATGTACTCTACCATGATTTATCCCAAATACCTGCCTTGCTCTTGTACTTTGACAGCATTTGGGGATAATTTCTATGGCCACTGCAGCACTTTTGCATTGGGAACTATCTGTTCAGTAGATCATCTGCATGTGGGTTACAGGCATCACCGAAATGATATACATAGAGTCAAATGGCTGACCCTCCTTTAAGTAATCAGTATGGTGGTTGAAAATTCCATGGTAATAAATACAGGGACATGCCAAAATCATCTCTAGAAACTATCTAAAGTTGAAGCTAATGTGTGTGTGTTTATAGTAAAACCAGACACCAGGTCCCTTACTGCTCCCTGATACCAGAAAAGATGGTGAGTGATCATATATTGAATTACTTTTTTCTTAATGAATTTAGACTTTAAGGAACTTTACGAATTTAGACTTTAAGGAACTTTACACTCAAAAAGCATTAGAACATTTCTAATATTTTACTCACATCAAGCTGGAGAAAGAAGCAACATCAATCTTTTGACATTTAAGGCCCAGGATAAAGTAATTTTATTTATGCTGGTTTTAGAATTTCATTTGAGAGTACTATTTTGCCACTGTTAATTTTTTTTAACTTAAATAGTTAATCTCTAGTGTGTCTTCTGCTGTAGCAGCAAAAGCATTCCTCCCTAGTAATGGGAGAATTTCTACTGGTGTGAGTAAATTCATACTGGTCACCACATAAAGAAAAGGCTGTACTATAAAGAAACTGTACCAGTTTTATTATGCTGATATAATCAAAATAATAAAACCTGTGTGTGTAAATGATAAGGGATACTTGTGCCATTTGTTGAGAAATTGGCACAGGAACAGCAGTGAATGAAATACATCTGGGATTGATAACCTGATTCATATAGTAAATAACAGGTTGTACAAATTTAATCAGTCAGAGAACTATTACATGTGTAAGTAGATACTCTGAGGGGGCGAAAACTTACACTTGATGCACAGGTCTTAACTGATCAGTCTGCTCTTGAATTTGTTGTGAAAATGCTTATCTGTGTCAAGGTGATTCTCAGGTTGGGGGATTCATTTTAATTTCTGAAATAACTGGCCTACAACCAAAAGTAGAGATTTTGATTTTGAACTTACTGCCACTCAAAGTATGAGATGCTTTCTTCTGATCACCTCTATCTTAGGCCCGAAAGAACCCTAAAGTCCAAGCACATTTAATGGTGTGAATTTCAACCGCATTTCTGAACAAAACGTGAGGAATGATCAGTTTAGGCAAGGTTTTTTCATGAGATTAAAAATAGACACCAGTTTGGTAAAGAAGTTCAGAAATACTTTAATACCCCCGGGCAGTGCTTTTTATTTGTAAGAAAACCAAACAATAAACCGGGGTTTTGTAGGAAACTTTTGCAAGAGCATTTTCCCAATAATTTCTGTGGAGAAGGTGCCTCAGGTGTTGCAGTTATTGCTGATGCTTTTGCTGCACAACCTTTGAGTGTGTTACAAGACATGTGTAGCTTGATGCATATATTAAAAAATAAGACAAAAGAAAATATGTTTTCCTGGCTTTTTTTTTTTTTTTGATACTTGGACTTCAGCTTTGGCTGGGGTGAACTTTTGTTTTCGGTGCAACGCCCCTGCTTACAACAGAAACGCTGGATGTTTCATTGCTCCCGAGGAAATGCCGCGGCACCGTATTTACAAGATACCCTGAACTGTCAGTCTCCCCGAAACACAATGTATTTAATACAAAGCCATTAAGCCTTGTAAAACTGTCAAAAACGTAAGTGACACTTGCAATAAAAGCCGGTGGCGTGAGCGGCCCTGGCTAATCAGGGCTGATGATATCAGTGCAGCTGATCGCGGCGGGCGCGAGGGACGTTTCGACAGCTTTACGGCCCGCGTGGATTTGTGTTATTAAAATGGTACAGTTTTGTAAGGAATTTGGGATTTAATAAAGCGGCAGAGAAACTACAAAAGGGATAATATATCCTGCTAAAATGAGCCAGGCTTTAAAAAAAAAAAATAAAAAAAATAATAAAAAGAAAATAAACAGACACGGCGCGCGAGCCCGGGCGCATGTGTGTGTGTGTGTGTGTGCATGGGAACGGGGAAACCAGGAGAGGCTCTCCCTTCCCAACTCACACGGGGTACGGGCTGCTCGTATAAACCACTTTTATGTATTTATAGCTCGGCAAATACCTTGCATCTGTGAGACCATAAAACAAATTACAATGTATCCAATTGCTTCAAGGTGGCGAATTGTGCTTAAACTTAATGACTTGTACAGATTATAGGAGAAAGAGCATTACCTGTTTAATGTCTTTTTTAATAAGTAATTCCCAAACAAGTGTAGTAAATGGGAGGTTGGGAGTTTGTTTTGGTTTGCTCTCTTTCCCTTTCTTTTTTTTTTTTTTTTCTTTTTAGTTTGGTTTTTTCCCCCCTGAGATGCAAAACCAGCAGGCCCCCGCCCTTGTGAATGCAAGGTAATGCGCCCTTTTATTTATATTGCAATCCTTGGAACTGCTCCCCAGAACACAAACATGTCAGAAAACGAGAGACGAGGATGCATATTCTTAAAAAAAAAATAAAAAAAATCTATAAATTCAACCTAATGGGGCAGATATCAGAAAAATGTGTTGGATTGAAGGCATATAAATCACCCCTGGTTTCCTGGCATGAGCTGGCACTGCGTGCCTTATATTTCAGCCAAATTATTCCATTTGTTTCTGAAGATATTTTAATCCCTCGTGACCTCAAACTTCCCGTGAACCAGGGCCCGAACAAAAGGCCGCCCACTGTCTTTGCAGTAAATCTGTTGTCTCCCTTCCCGGCCCGCAACCTGGGATCATAGATCACCCCTGCCCCGCAGCTTGCTTCAATTTACTCAATTAACTCGAGTAAAGCACTTGTAAGTTTGCAGATGTTGCTTTATTATCAAGGCCTAAAATGTACAGGAGGGCCGAGGAGCGCGAGGTTACGGGGAGGTTGTGCAGGGGGAGGGAGGCACAGCCCCCCAGCCCTGCCCCGGGCGGGCTCTGCGCCCCAGCCACCTCCTGGGGGCCCTGCTGGGATCCCCCTGCTATCCTGGGGCCATCCGATGCTATCTGGCACAGAGATGGGACTGCAGAACCAGGTATTCCACCTCGGGATGAGATAACGTGATTAACAGATGTTTAATTGGGCCATCTATCAAGTGAAGAACCTGCCCTAAAGTCAGCGAGGCTAAGTAAATTATTTCCAACCCTGCAGGTGTTGGACTGGCAGTTCTATTACTCTTCTGAAAACGGGCTTTAGAAGATTTTTATATGAAAAGATAATTTATTTCTATGGGGACTTTTTGCAAGGGCATGCAGTGATAGGACGAGGGGGAATGGTTTTAAGCTGAAGGAGGGAGGATTTAGATTGGACATTAGGAGGAAATTCTTTCCTGTGAGGGTGGTGAGGTACAGGAGCAGGTTGCTCACAGAAGTTGTGGCTGCTCCATCCCCGGGGCACGTGTTCAAGGCCATGCTGGATAGGGTTTTAAGCAACATTATCTAATGGAGGCTGTCCCTGCCCGTGGCAGGAGGGTTGAAACTAGATGATCATTAAGGCTCTTCCAATCTAAATCATTCTATGATTTTATTTATGTATATTTATGTACATTCTTTATTTATGTAATATGCTTTCAGGTTTGGGCCCAGTCCTCCTGCATCTTGCATGCTGGGGAGGGACAGGAAGAAAACCAGTGGCCCTCTCACCACACCATCCAGACAAAGTCTTGTGTTACATCTTTTAATGACTTCCCATCAGCTGTGGATGTGAGGTGGAGAAAAATCTTACAGAAATACCTGGGTCAGTCAATACACTCCAAACCCTACCAGCAGTATGAAGACATGGGTGGGATGGAGGCAGGGGCTTGGGTGGCACAGGGTCAGGAGCTTCCAGGTATTTCACCATCTGCTGGTCTGAGGTTATCATCTGGGTTCATACCTGGTTATATATGGATTTTTACTTTTAATTCTTGTGGTTTTCTGCCCCTTTAAGCTTCCACTTTAATTCTTAAGTTGTTCCCTAAATCCTGGTCAAAAATATTAGGGAAACTACAAAAGGTTTCAGGTGAAAACCACGCTAAGAAAGGTGGTTTTCAGTGAGTTTGCAGAATTATAATTGTTAGAATTTGTTAGGGGCAAGGTACATGTTCATTTAAAAGACCTGTAGATTTGGAAATTTTATTAACAACAAATATTAGACCCAACCTTAAGCAGGGATGGGCCAGAGGCCCATTTACTTCATGGAAACTCCGTTTACATCAGGTCACAATTTGACCTGGAAACTGAACCTCAGCATGTCGAGAAATCAGCTTTCAGTGTTGCTGCAGATTTCACAGCCGGTTTCATTCAGTTATAGCTGTAAAATGTGTTTTTTAGGGAAGCTCAACTTAATAACCATTTAACCTGCATTCATTCTCTTCACCACCTAACTACTTTTAAGGCTCTTTTGTGATAGTTACAAAAGTACCCACCTGTAACTTCTGTGGATCATTTTCTTCTAGCTACAACTTTTTCCTGTTGACCTACACTTGTTGCAGCAGAGAAGTTTTTAGAGCTGCTGTGATGCCCATTTCTGCTGTGCACAAGGGAAGCGAAGAAACTTCTGAGCAGCCTCTCCCTCTTTTTCATTAATGTCCATGAAACAGTGACAATCTAAAAATAGGCCTTTCCCTTGGACACATTTCTTTCACAGGACATGGCTAAAATTACTGTAGATTCTTTTATATATTCTGTAGAACATCTTTAGCCTATAATACACCTGAGGAGCAGATAGGGCTTTTTGTGTGCAGCAAAATGCTCACTATGGAAGAATAACCCCAATCCAGCAGCTGCCAGGATTTGCCTTGCTGGTAGTCCAGCTCCATGATCACAGGGCAGTTGACAACATATCACATGATCATGTTTTTTGCTGTCTGTGTGTCACTTACAAGTATGTCAGATAAGACCAGATCTCTAGAACAGCAAGGACAGAAAAGCACCAAAGCCGTGTTCCTGGATATCTTTCAGCCCTGACAGCATCCAACCTATGCACAGTATGCTGAGAGTTTTGCAGTTTCTCAGCTTTGCAAGCATCTTTATCAGACTGGGTTGGTCTTAAAGGGTTTTGGCACATGAAGCAATTTCTAATGGTGACAGTAATCGAGCAGGCTGCAATGAGTTAAGTGAGGTCAGATTCTGTTGGTTGCTCCTGCATCATCTAAACTAAAACTTGGGTTTGATAGCAAGCCAAGTTTTTAGTCCTCAGTTTTCAGTATCTGTAGTGCTTTAAATGGAGAAGCCAAACTGAATCTCAGGGGAAGTCACATGGCTCACAAATGTGGATGCAAATGGCTTCATATAATTTTTGTATAATATTTTGTGTGTGAAAGTCTTTCAAACTCTTCTCAGCTTTTAAATCTCATAAGAGAGTCTTTTAATTACTCTTTGAATATGCCATTATATTTCTTTTTGTACTCACAACATTTTTTTTAAAAATAGTGGTCTGTTTTGTTTCTGTACATAATGGAAGTTAATAAAATATGTGCCAGAAGCCAAAAATATGATGAGCTACAAGGCATACTCCAGACCGTAAGGAAAAAGAAGAAAGAGCTGGCCTGTAATTCCACAGTTTATCAGTGTTTTTCCTTAGAATAGATATTACTTCTGGTCTGTTTTCCCCAAAATATCTGGCCTGAATCTAAATAGTTTGCCCCCTTTCTAAATTTGTAGCTCACCAATTTGTGCTCATTTGAAATCTGCCCCCTGTGCCAAAATCTGACTATTGTTTAAGTCCAAAGCTTAACTCTGAACTAGAGGTTCCCCATGTCTTTTTCTTTTTCATCAGCGTATCTAGGCTGGATCAGACCTGTTGAATTAAGACAGCTGGGGAAGGAATCTCAGCAGCATGCTACAGATCCATAAATGTATCCAGTTTGATTGTTGCAGCAGGAAGGTGCAGGTCTGTGAAGGCACCAGTTTGCTGTTCCTATATCTCTGAGTGGCTCATTCCCACTTCCTTTAGGCCCTTACCTTAAGCACCTGTGTTAAGAAACTGGTTGCCTGGTTCTGTAGACAATGCCCAGAGATAGAAATCTTACCTGAGCTGCCTCCACTCCACAGAGGGACCTTGGTGACAGGACTCTCGAAGTGCTGGGATCTGGTTTAGGAATTTTGGCTATTTGTCATAAGAAATAAATCTGTCCATCAATCAGCCTGTTTTACTGAGTGTCCCAGAAATGGTCAGAACTTGATTTTCAAGCAGTTCTGCCCATCACTGCTCCTATATATTTGGTGTAAGCAGCTCATGTGGACCACACCGAAGTTTTGTGTGACGCTGCTGTCTGGAGGGGGTTAGAGACTCTCAGCAGCACAGAGCTCACTGACCACAGTTAGCAGATATACAGGCACATTTGTGACAAATGTCTGATCTTCCCCTCCCAGCCAAACTCAGCTAAATACGTTCACAGATAACTGGCTCAACTTTGTTTCTTTTGGTAGGGACAGGCCATTAGCAAGTGACACGTTAGGAGTGATCACAGTCTTTACAAAAATGTACAAGTGGCACCAATGGCTGTTAGCAGAAGTCTCTTCAGCCACTGACATGAATTGAACCTGCAGTTCTCCTGTCTATACTCCCATCTTTCAATAAAAATAATGCCTTCTGATTGGGAATCTGTGTTGCACTTATGCAGCATGAAGGGGGGATTGCTGAGCTCATAAACACTTTGTTGTTGCTGAAACAAGGAATTCTCTCTTCCTTTCTTCCTTACTCCTCTGTCTTCCACTGCACTCCCTGCCTGACGAGTTTCTGCATCCCTGCATGAAGATTTTAGGGCCATTGCTCATCTCATGCAGCCTGGCTAAAAGGCCAGCAAGGCTGGAGCAGCACAAGGGATGAGATGACTTTGAGGTTTGGTGGCTGTAACTCCATTGAATTAGGTGTCTGTGCTGTCACTTAGCAGCTGGCATATAAGGAGCTATCTTTGCTCAGCTCCTCTCTATCAATACACCAGCTGTCAGCTATTGATAAGCTGCTATCAAAACCTGTTACCTAAAAGCTCATTTGGGTGTAATTATTCCAATTCCAGCCACTGTGATGTTGGTGCTGGTTTTGACAATCTACAATCAGGAAACAGCCATTGACTTAAAAAGGAGATAGGTCAGCTCTCAGCCTGTAAAACACAGACCCATCATCTCAAGCGTGGCAGGGTCTGTGGGGAAGCAATATCCTGTGCTGGATATCCATGGTGCTGTTGAAAAGCCAGAAACATGTACAAGGAGTGCAGCCTTGTCAGGCTCCTATCACGACTGTCTTCATGATTTTCACAGTTCAGGAATGCTGGCTGGAAAGGGTTCATGGCTATGTCTTGCCACCACTTATTTCTTTCCAAATCCCAGTTTTTGGAAACAGTTCTGAAATAATTTCCTGTACATGATGAGGTACACCTTTTTACCCTGTTTTTTCTTTGGGACCTTCTACTTGGGACTGTGCACTAAATAAAGATCTCTTATTACCCTATATTTGCCAGTTATTTTATAGAATTACATTGCACTGTAATACTTAAAGGCATATATTTCAACAACCAGCATGGATCATGCATTCTCAGGCCTTTTACAGAAGAATAAGTAAAGAGTGATGCTGTGAGTTTGTGTGTTGAAATGTCTGTGTGCTTATTCCAGCTGTGTCTGTTGGGCAATCCCAGTTCTCTCTCCCTGCCTACCTGGTCCTGTTCTTAAAGCTGCCAAACCAGGCCCTCTCTGCACTAGCAGTGCTGCTGGGGCTGGGAACATTTTCAGCTGGTTAGCCCATCCAGCATTGTTGCACTCTGCTTCTCACCAGCATGTCTTCACTTTGACCCAGATGTCTGGGCTAACCTCTCTTTCCCCTTACAAATCATTCATCTGTGAACTACTGGCATCCCTACCCACATATTTTTGTGTGCACCTCAGTAGGAAATGTATGAAATCAATGTACCTTTAAGAGCATCTCAAGCAGGTTGAACTTTATATTCCTAATGAAAAGTCTTAACAATGTTGCTTCAGACTCAGCTGCAATTCAGCCTCTCACTTTCCTGCTCCTAAATACAATTTTATTTGGTATCTTAAAATCAAGTTCCAGCAAATTCCATATGGTCTTGTTGTGAATCATGAGCCTACTGTGTGTCTTCTCTGAATACTGGCTTGGCTTTGAACAGATTTACACAGAAAAGGCTCAGAATAAAAACTTGCATTGCCTCCACTGGAAGAAGTTGAGATGTGTTTTTAGTTCGTTGTTGGTATGAAAAGTCAAACAAAAATACACTGTAAAAATAAAAAAAGATGTTTGGCACATGGTCGTGGGTTGAAATGATAATTATAAACACAGGGGTTTTTTTTCAACAGAATTGAATTTTTGATTCCAACATCCCTCTTTTAAATAGATTATTTTATTTTTAAAAGGAAATTTCAGAACATTGTCAATGAGAGGCAGTTTATCCTGGGTAATGGAGGTGTTCTTTTTCCAACTCAGATCCCACCATCCCATTGCAATCAACTGTTGAGGAATAACAAAACTCATGACAATGTTTGGTATTTAATCTTTAATTTTTTATCAAGAAAAGTAAGAAAGCATCTTATGCAAAATAATAAAAGCAACGTGAAGGTCACCCAGTACCCTAGGGAAGCTGGAATGTACATAAATACTCAGTGATTTTGAAATAAGTTAGTATCCTTTTTTTTTCTATTTACAACATCAAAAGCACAATGACCATCAGAAATATAGATTAGGAGAGTCCTAAAGAAAGACATTTTGGGTGTCTGGGTGCTTTTGCCATTGAAAGTCATGAGATTCTGCCAGTTATACTAAAGGATGTTTTGTTGGCAGTGGTTGGATCTTTTCCTTTTTTTTTTTACATAAGCAAAGTTGAATAATATGCAGCAAATTGAATGACAGATACAATTTTGAAGGCTAAAACCTAAAACCTTTAAGCAGTGATTTAAAAGCTAATTATTATGGATATAGCCATTCAACATTCATTTCTTAATATTGTTCCCTCAAGAAATAGTGATTTAGTCAACCAATTATTTTATCTCTTTTAGGGATACTTTCTTAATTGCAAAACAATCTAAAAATATAATCAGCATGCTAAATACATGTGGTATCTTGTTTAGAATGCTATGTTGGAGGAAGAATGCAATTAAACTGTCAAAACGTAATTGTTTCTCATATTTAATTTAAAGAGGTTGATTCACATTTGCTTTTCATGTTTAGGAGTTAAAAAACAAAGCAAGCTACTAGCACAACTACCAGTTTTTAATAAATACAACATAAGCTTGGAGCACTGGCAAAAACTGCCTCTGTCACAAGATGTTGCCATCAACAGATAGGAAATATTCCCCTTTTTTCAGTTCTCATGGAGCTGCAGTTCAGAATTCAGAGTTTCAGCATGTCAGATGATATTTGTGATTTCAGGTGCAGCTCTAACACAGAGTGAAGTGAGAACTGCACACTCTCCACCTGCCCCATTGCCTGTGGAGCCACTGCTCCTCAGAGACATCTCCACCCGCTGCTGCTCCCTCCTTGCTGCTGGAGGAACTCTGGGAGGAGGGGACCTTGAGCCAGGATCCATCCCATTGAGCTCTGGAGGAAGGGAGATCCACAGACCTGCAGTGACCTCACCCTTGTAGACCTGCATTCAAACGACCTTTTACTTCCAGGGCAGAATAAGTGGTTTTTTCTCCTTTTCTGTTAAATGTGATGATAATGCAGCTATCCTGTACCTCTTTTTTTTTTGGTAGCAAACGACTTTTTAAAAGTTATACGACACCCATGTGAGGAAATCTTTGAGTGAAATTAATCCAAAGCTGCTGGGCCTACGTCAAGTTGTCAGGAGTTTTTCAATGCCACTTATCTCCTGAACAAAGACAGAAGCCCTGTGGAATCAGGAGCACTGGGATTTAACATCAGATCTTAGATGGGGTGGAAATCTAGTGAGCACCATGCTGGATTTCATTTTGTGGTAGTAAACATGGTATAAAAAATAATTCCAACCTACCCACCTGAACTTCTTACACTTCACTATGGCTTCTGTAAGGGATACATTTTCAGGTGAACAGGCATGAAACACACTTACAAATGCAAGACAGAATTCATGATCATACACACATTTCCAGAAGTTTGTGCCTGCTTTTCCTTGGATATGTTATCTAACAGTTTATTTGGAAAATTACACTGTCTTTAAAATGCTCTCATTTAAGTAATGTTTAACTGAAAATATAGATTACTGGATATTTTTTTTGTAACTGTATTGTTTCTTATGTATTGCTTGAATCCTATATATATTATTACATATACCAACTGAGTGCATTCACTTTGATTTTAGATTTTATGTTTTGTCAATTCTGTAACTGGAACAATAAACAGAACTAGTAGATTGTTATCCCATCTATGGTGCAGCCTTAAGAGAGGGCTGAGAACTCAGCTTAGCAGGTGGGTTTCCCACCTATTTATTGCCAACAGAGAAGTTCTGCAGTTTTATTCCTACATACAAAGGCAGGATCTGGCAGAAATGTGTTTAAAGGTCTGTCTGTCTCTGTCCCCTAACACCTTCCCTTCTCCTTACAGTATTCTCCTTATTTTCTAAGAGGATCCAGCTGCATGTGAGATGCTATTTGGGAAGGGAGCATTCTTGGTGCAAATTGAAGTACTAACAAGACTCTGGCAGCAAGAGCTAAGAGGTTTACAGCTATGCCAAAGCTGAATGGACACAGATTTATACAGAATTGCAGGTGACACATCCTTTACTATCAAAAGAAATCCCTGTCAAATATATTCTGCAGTAGTCTTGCCCAAAAATCCAAGCCCAAGTGAAGTACACAAGGTGGAAAAAAAGTCCACCTGTGCAGCTGATGGAAATGGTGCTTTATAATGAAAAATGTGGGGCGGCTTTGTGGCCAGAGGCCCTGCCTAGAAATATAGAGTTGGGCCTCTAACACATCTCACTGTAATTTGCATGAGAGACCTGATTCTCAGGCAGTGCCAGGGAGCAGGCAAGAACAGTGACACCGAGTCCATACTGTCCAATTTAAAAGTTAGATTTGAGTATTTGCCCTTAAGCATGTGAAACCAACTCCTAACCAAATTCTTTTTCTGGTTTGTGTCCATATTGTCCTGCCCCACCATAAAAAGGAAAGTAGATTGCAGAAATCCAGGAATCTTCAGCAGACTTGACCTGGGCTTCCTGCAGAGCTTTGCCTCTTCTGTGGCAGCAGGGATAGGTAGAGGGGGTCCAGGCCCTTGGGGGGACTGTGAGCCCAGGGTCCCCCAGGATGCTGAAAGGCTGTTCTTTGAGGCACCTCCAGGTCCTTCTCTGCCACATTTACCAGCCAGCAAGCTCCAGGTAAAGAAAAACAGTATAGCTGCCATTCTCCCTTCTTTGTGTTATCACCACCTTTTCACAGAATCAGAGAGTCATCAAGGTTGGAAGGAGACCTTCAAAGTAATTTAGTTCACCCACGAAAACCCAGCACCACCACAACCACCTCTAAACCTTATCCCCAAGTGCCACATCCAGATGCCACTTGAACCCTTCCAGAGACAGTGACTCCATCACCACCCTGGGCGACCCAAAGCCTAAAAACTCTTTCAGTGATTTTTCTTTTCTAATATCTAATATCTAATATGAGCCTCCCCAGGTGCAACCTAAGGCCTTTTTCTCTTGTCCTTTCACTTGGGACATGGCAGAACAGACTGAGCCCCACCTCACTGCAGCCTCTTTCAGGTAACTGCAGCAATGAGGTCTCTCCCGAGCCCCCTTTTCTCCAGACCAAACAAGTCCAGTTCCCTCAGCCACTCCCCATGGGATATGTCTCACAGAATGGTTTGGGTTGGAAGGGACCTTAAAGATCATCTTGTTCCAACAAGGGACACCTTCTGCTAGACCAGGTTGACTTAAACAGAGATTACACTTTTCCAAGGTATTTATGCATTCTCTATTGCTGTAAAAGTAGTGCTGGTGTGTATGCAAATATTTGAGAAGAATCAAAACCAGTGGTGAGCACAGAAGGAAGGAATTACACCACGTGTGCACACCTGAGGGGTCTAAAAAACTAAAGCTCATCGATGCCTAATTACATCACTGCATATCCATGGGTAAGAAGGCTGAAGGAAGAACCACTCACTCTTCACTTCAATGAGTGCCAACAGCTACTAAAATTCATAAAAATGCAGATTCCTTTCTTTTTTTTTTTTGTCCTAGATTTAGCACTTCCTCTTAGTATTTGGACTTGGCTACTTGAGGCCTCTCTGTAACATTCTTTATAAAATCAGTGGGAAAGTTGTTTATTTGGAGGTTCACTAGACCCTTCACCAGCTTCATTGCTTGTTCCATGTTTTCAACAATGCTTCTGACCCAAAACCAGAGCGAGGCTGGGCTGTGAGTGCCTTTTTCACGTCTGCTACCACCCAGCCAAGGAACAGCCCCACAGCCACAGCCAGAAGTGTGGGAGGGGCTGCATTTTAACAGTTTGATCCTGCAAACCCTCCGGTCCTGCCCCAACTCTCAGTGGCTCCACCAGAAACAGAAGCAGATTAAAAATTCCCCGTTGCCCATACATTTCTGCAGTCATCCTCACTGGAGAAAAACTCTGACCTGCCTGTGCCAGGCCCAGCCTTGACTGGACTCCGGGAATTCCAGCGGAGATGTGTATCCTGTGGGATCAGGCACTGGGGTTGCCCGTTTGCAGTATGACAAAAGCCAGCTGGCTGAGGGAAAGGGCTGCTGCCCACGCTCAGCTCCCCCTGCACATGTGTGGGGCTCGGGATAACAACTGCCAAGTCCACAGTAAAAGAGGCCAGGCAGGAAGCAAGCCACATGGCTACTCTAAATGATATTAATAAGACTTTATAAAAAGTTAAAAGCACAACGTAGCTTTTCAAAGTGTTTCTCAGAGATCTCTACATGTGTATAGGTGTTTCATGTCCATGAGATAGAGGCTCGGGGTAAATTTAATGCAGTATTCTTTTCAGCCTAAGAATTTTTTTTTTTTTTTTTTTTTACTCCTGAAAGCTGTCGATATAAACTGGGACTCATTAAAAACACCTTGTGTTTTGTTTTTCAGAAATTTTGAATTTCTGTCGTTCCCTGGGTCATTAGAAAGCAATGTAGCATCAGCAACTGTTCTGAAGGAGCCCTGTCTTGTGAGGAACAGAATATTCCTGCTGCAGCCTGATGGTAGTAAAAGGGTGCTTAGCACCTCTCAGGAGATGCTGAGCGTCTCTCCCCGGCCGAAGTCCAGAGATAGCATTCCCAAAGGACAGATACAAGGATATTAAAAAAGACTTTGATCAAAGAAATATTGCTTCTTTCCTCCTTTCACTAAGCAGATGTGCAACGTGTCTTGGGAAAGAAATAGAAAAATTCCTGAGTGATTTATTTGATGAACCCAGTTTTAACCCAGGTTATTGCATGCCTGATACGGTGATGCTGGTTATTAGTTTCCAGTTGAAAATGACCAGATAGAGAACATATTCACTTCATCAATATAATGCATTTATTGGTTGTCAAGAGAGTCACATCACACAGATATGTAAATCTGTCACTTTGTCTTAAAAGTGTATTTCTCTATTACAATGTTGCTTGATGTATGTTTTAAGGCAGTAAGGCCTTTTAAATATTAAAAAAAACCAAGACAAGGGGGAAGATTTGTCTATTCAATCACAGGATTTAAGACATTAAAAGCAGATGCATCATTTATAAAAGTAGGATTTTATCAAATGCCATAGCAAATGAAAGAATCATATCTACCATATGTAGATATGTGAATTACAGAAACCTTCTTTCCCAGGAAAATTAACAAACTCTTTTGCCAGCATTAAGGTGAATTAGTCCTTGAAGCTGGTTACTAGTTGACCACAAATCTCAATTTTCTGTGTCAGAAGTAAAATAGAATAGAGTCTTAGTTTACATTATGTAAAAAAAAATGAATGTTTGTCATTCTGTTTATATGTCCACAGCTTTAAAAAAAATACATTCAAATCTGGAACTAAAGGAACTCAAAGAAATTTAGTTGTAATTTAATTCAGTTCTTTACCATTAAAATCTGCAAGAATTATCAATAGCAACAAATATTAAAAATAGCAAGAAATTCACTAAACCCATATTTTGGTCTTAGAAATGAGCAAAACTGGCTTTTTTAAAATATGAAGACATTCTATATTTCCAAACAAGAAATAACTCCTACAGCAGGACATACAATGGCACTAATCCTTCTCATGGGTCCAGTGTGTTTGCCTGCAGCTCTGTCTGCTCTGGGCAGAGTGAGAACAGGCTGCACAGACCCCCTGAAGGACTGAACCAGAGCCTCCCTGGTTTCCATTCCCTGTGTTTTTGGTGGTGAGACAGAGCAGCATGGCTCACGACCCAACAGGGAGCCTGGCCATGGTTACAGCAAGATTTGTCTCAGGCCCTTCAGAAGTAGGAGAACGTGATGATTAGTTCATACACAACCAGCTGAGCAGAGGTAAGCATGAGGGGTGGAATTATGAAGCAGGTCAGAAAGGAAATTAAAAGGACTTAGCAAACTACATAATTAAGAGAGAGATTTTCAACTCCACTTATGCAGGGGCTATAGATAGAGAGAACTGTAAGGGAGGAGTTCTGTCAGTGGAGTCTGAGGTCTTCTAACCTCAAACTTTAATGGAGTTCACCACAGAGATTCGAAGCAGATGAGAAGTGTGGATCTGGGTTTTGGTTTTCTGACTGAAATAAGGGTTGTTGATAACCAGATCTCTGGTTCCAGTCCATCTCCAGTGAATGCCCACCTAAGCCTAACATAAGCAGTCTTTAATTCATCAGTTTACATTATAATCTCTACTTTGCAAAATGTAATTCATTGTCATGAAGAAAGAATGCTAAGACTGAAAAGACACGAAGGATGATCATAAACTGAGCAGTGTCACTGGTGTCCAATGTGCACAGCTGGTTGCCTGGGCTTTGTATCACTTCTTTGAGCAGAGTGGTAACTTCAGGAAGGAGAAGATGCAATTTTAAAAACATTTTGCCAGTCTGGTCATGCTGGGAGAAGCTGCTCTAAAATAAATAACAATTCATTGCTAGCACTTTTTAAATGCTCCTAAGAAAAACATTAGACTATGAGATTGTTTATGGAATTACCTTGGACCTTAAAATGGAGTTTCCAGGAGGACAGTGGCATTACTTAGATGTGCTGAAGTCAGTGGTGAACC